AAAAAAAAAAAGCAAAACAAAACAGGCAAAAGGATAAACAATAATAAAGATTAGAGAAATTCTCCGACCCTGTAATGACGAAGGCATCTCAGCTCTAAACAAGCGCAAGAAAATTAACCCTGCACGCTTAATGGTTCAATCAAAGGCCTTTCCTCTCCTCGCGCATAGCTTCCAACCGCTGCTTCTGACCGACTTTCCACTACAGTCCTGATCATTGCATGGGCCTGCACAAGCTTCTGTCGCAGGGTCTGGGAATGTCCTGGCATGGCTGCTGCTGCGACAAGCGCGAGGACCAATGTCACGGACATTTTTCGAGACGTGAACCCGTCATCCTGAGCTCTGCCCAAACTGCCTCATGACTAAGCCCATCCCAGAGCTAAAGACCTCTATCACTCGAAGACATGAAATCGTAGTACGACCGCTGAAGCTCGCGAAGCTCGGGAAGGATGCAGCTCCAGAGGTTGTTCATGCCGAGGCAGGGAAGGGGGCCAGGCTCGGGCTTTCCGCAGTTCAGACCAACACCGCTTTCAGTCGACCTCAAAGCAAAGTTCTCTGCCAAGCTGCGATGCCCATGCACCAACTCATGCAACCACGCCACGATTGTTGATGGCTGGACCTGGCAGCGTGAATTCTCCGGTAAAGAAAGAGGGACTCGGGTTTACAGGCCATTTAGGAACTTTTCAGGGCTGCAGCCATGTTTCAAGCCGCTTGCATGATCCCCCCAAGCCTAAAGCCTAGGCCTGAGTGTAGTTCACCCTCCTTTGCAAGCGCCTCCGTCGCGTCGCCTCGTCGCCTCGAGGCGACGGTCGACAGCGTCTGGCGCAGCAATCTGGAGGTTGAAGAGCAGGCGCAGGCGCGACGTAGCCCTTGCGGTTTCACTCAGAGCCTCTCCTTACGTTGCATGCGATGCACAGGCACAGCGTGATGAGTTTAGGGTTAGGGTTGTGTCGATCTTGAGCACTGTAGTGCTGACTCCGAGCATCACGAGCATGAGAACTGTGTTTCCGACATTTGCTATTGGTTGGTCAAGACTGCACTTAAGCATGAAAATGGTTATAGACCGGCAGCAGCAGTGATGCGCAAGGGCCCTGCGAATAGTTTGGATGCTGAGTGCTGTGTTCCAAGTGGGTGTCAAGCTTTCATTAGAAGCTTTTGAGGCTTTCAACCGTCGGTTGAACAAAGCGTTCTGGGAGGGACGGAGCTTACGAGTCAAAGGCAGGCAAGTCATGAAACCAGAACCATGAGCCCGGAAATGCAATGTGCCAGATGCCCAAAATGTCTGGTACAGTGCGCAGCAGCTACGAACACAACGTGCCGGATGAAGCCAGCAAGCCCGATACCTGCATCTTAGAGCTTTCAAAACCCTTACATCCTGCAGCCCGAGCCTTAGAGCCCAAAACCCACCAAGCAACCGGAAGACAGCCAGGATGCTGCTCCAGAGATACTCCACTCAGAGGTCTTTGGGAGGGGGATCCACCCCTAAACTGCCAGGGGTAAGGATTCGATTGAAGGCTTGTAGCGCACACCTTCCCACCAGCCTGCTGATGCAAGCGTCATGCATGCTCTTCCTTGCCCAAGTCCTGCTTATCTTCAGACATGCATTGCCCCCAGCAAGACTTCTATCTGCGTGGTTTCCGCTGCTGGCCCCGTTACGTCAAGGCTACACCACATCGATGCCCTTAAGCGGCGAAAGCCAGAGCTCGCACGAACATGCTCCTGTCAGGCGTAGTTCGAGAACACCTTCAGCCTTAAGCTTCTTCGTCTTCCAAAACCGGCGTGCATCCCCTTAAAACGTCAGGGCGGCGGCCGCTCTCTTTCAAAAAGCAACTGCTCACTCGGTCCTGCTTTGGCTTTTCACAAGCATGATATGACATCCCCCCCGCGCTGCACGGCCGTTTCAAAAGGTTGCAAGATATGCGCGCACTTGTAGGGACTTCTGTTCGCATTGACCAAAAGGGCAGTAGGGTGTCAGGGCTTTCAGGTTCTGGGTTTGGGGTGGGTCCTAGATTAAACCTTGGCTTCGATTACAGGTGGGATAGAGGGAGGTGCCCTCATTTTGCGGTTCTTGTGTGGTGTTCCCCAACCCTTTCCAAAGCTGCAAGTAAAGCCTCTGCAGGAGGTTGCCCGCCGCGCCCGGCGCCTGACGACTGCAGAAGGCACAACCAGCATCGATGGTTTCGGCGTCCTTACTTTTTGCTTGCTGCCTTCGTGTTTTTCCGAAGATGATGGCCACGGTTACATGCCTGTGCTCATGTCATATAAGGATGGAATCTGTTCCGCCCTGAAGGTCTCAGCCCGAGACGCTCTGCATTTTCATCCCTTGAGGCTCTGAACCAAATATGCGAAACAGCCCCCGTCCCCCATGAAACAGGAGCACACCCAGCAACCTCCACCTGAAAAGCCTAAAGCAACACAGCCTTGAAGCCGCAAAACCCTGCAACCCAACGGGCACAGGCTCGAAGTCCGGCTCGATGTTGTCGATCACTCTGAAGGACGAGACGCTGCTTCCTGGACTCAGAACCGGACGTGTCAAAATTGAGACAGACTAAGATCTTCTCTTTTTTTGTCCAGGGAGGTCTAGGCCAGGCTTTCCGTAAATGAGGGCCTTCTCGTGCGTCGCGTCGGTGGGGTCTTCCGGGTCGGCACTGGGATGACAGCTGAGTGTCTTCCATGCAAGTGGGTTCTCTGTCTGGGCTTAGGGGATGGGGCAGGCATGGAGAACAGGGCTGGCAAAGAGTGCTGCAAGCTGAGACTGTCTGCCCCCTAACCCACAAGCCTTCGGCAGTCCGGTGTTTGTAGATTTTGGGCTCGTGGGTTGGGCGCCATGTCGCAAGACTTTTCGGCCACTGGAAAGTACAACTCTTGCAGACACAGATGAAGACGTTGCTACCGTACTGTAGGGTCTCGGTCACGTTCATGGAGCTACGCACGACAAATCGCCCACGAAAAAGTTGGCATTGTCGTATGTCCAGGCGGAAAAATTTGGGTGCTGTGTCTTTCAAACCGCTTCAAAGCGATGGACGTCCTTCGGGTTGTACTCTGATAGCAACGAAGAAGACCAGGCTCCGTGCCACAGACATTGGACACGTGCTTGCGGGCTGTGGCCGCTGTCTGAAGGCGCCGGGCCCTAAACCCTTGGGGTTAGGCTTGAAAACCCTACATGTTATATCCTAAGATTGGGTTTCAGCTCGCAGCCAAGAGGTCCAGACCTTTGAAGTCAGTGGCTAGGTCTCGGTTGCTCGGTGATGCGGGTCTGTCGTTGTGCGTTTGGAGCCTTCCGTTACGCGAACATTAGCAAAGAGGAAAACCAGCCGGCATTACGGAGGAACCTGCTAGGGAGTTCACCATGGGCAATAACTTCAAGCTGGCTGTCTTACATACTTGGAATGCAGGATATCACATGTAAATTTGTGTACATGCAAAACGGTTGCAAGGGACATTTGGGAGTCAAACTTCAGCAGATATTCAGAAGCGAATATTGCTGCAAGCTTCGAAGTGGCTTAGTGGCCCCACATCAACTCCCAAATGGCTTTCATCCGCGAGTCTCGCAAACAGCAGGACGTGGTGGAAGAGTGCGGCGAAGCCATCAGTCAGATTGAAGCGAGCCATGAAACTCGCGTAGACCCAAAGTCTGCTCAGGTTCGAAGCAGCCTGAAACTTGAAATCTACAGAAGTCCCAGCAGGGAGGCCGATCACCCGCCAGCCGCGATTGAGCTCGAAACATTTCGAAACCCTAAACCCGAATTGACTTCTTCCCAACCTTTCTATGCCATTCCCAGCACTATGCCCGCAGGCCATGAGCCTGCTGGACCATACGCTGACAGTTGATCAGGCGCAAGCCGGTGCTTGAACGATCCAACCCGGAGACGGAGTTTGTCCTGGATAGGGTTTAGCAGTTGAACACCATTGCATGGCGTGGAATACAATGGTGCGCTACTTGCAGGATCGCTGCTGTCCCTGCTGTTTCTTGAGGATCCGTCAGCTGGAAGAGATCGAAGTTGTAGAGAACTGCTGCTTTGACTTCGTTCGGCTTGTCGCCTTGCGATGGAGGTCTGAGGAGAAATGCCAGTTGGGCTCAAACCCTGCCCTGGAAACCAATGATGCTCTGAAAGCTTTTGATGCCTCGGTCTTGATGCAGATTCCTGGGCCCGGTACCTTAAAGCCCTCGATAGTTCCCTGTAAGGCCTCGGCGATGTTCGCGAAGTCAAGAGAAGTAACTGGGATCGACTACTTCATCAGCTGCTTGGCAGTCCTGAGCCCACCAGTTCTGGCAGCAATTTCGGGAAGGCGAGCATCAAGACTTGCTTTTCATTCTGTCACTGAAGCAGGCAGAGAGAGAGAGAGAGAGAGAGAGAGCGTCTACTGAAGAAGGGGAAACCGTTTGACCGAAGGGGGATACGTCTGTGCCTTCTTAGTATGTTGATGGGGGGAGCACTTTTTCCTCCGATAGAAAAGGAGGACGTCGCACCTGAGCCCATGTCACTATGTGTGCAGTAGGTTGTGAAGTTCGGTTCGTGCAAGCAGTCTTCCTTTCTTTTCTGCTGTACTGGAAAGTGAGACGCCCGGCAACAAGACGGGGGCTCCGGGAGATGTGAGTTTGCAGCAATGTGGTATTATCTATGATGCTTTGCAGTGTGCTGTTGTGTTACATCTTGAACTGCTGGTGTGAGAGCCGCCCTGCACCCCAACAGTTGTGCATAAACAATATGCCGCGATAGGGGGGACAGATCCGGTGTGAGCCTGATGAGGCCAGGGGGTTGTAGATTTAGTGAAAGGGGTTTTCTGCTCGAATGCCTTGGCCATCATCGGGGAAAGCAGTCTTACCTGAGACGTACAGACAGTGCGCGCTCGCGCGCAGAGTGCGGTGCCTTGCCGTGCTCTTGACTGTGTGGAAGAAGAGAGAGCGCTTGAGATTCTTGTCTTCCGAGGCTTGGGCGAACATGCAGCACATAACAAACTGTTTATTGCTCAGGCCACTGCTGGATGGATGGACGGCTTTCAAAAATCTTGGCGCTGTGGATCCACAGCAACACGGCTTTGTGAAGCGTTTGCTGGGTTGTTCCTTCAAGGGGTCCTTATTGTCGTACTGTCTTTCAACAAACAGAAAATAGCACCAATTTGGAAGAACCGTTTCCCCGAAGCCCACAACGAACAGACCCAGAGACTGGGGCCGCAACAGCCTTCAATGTCCTTCCGGGAAACGTCTGTCGGCGCCCAGCCCCGGAACATTTCCGATCATTCCCCTGACCCTGAAGCCACACCCCTCAACCCCGAACCGAAAGAAAGCTTCGCAAGCCTCATGAATTACGAGGTCTTGCGAGGCTGTCTTGTATGCTGATCCCGAAGCCGGGTCCTTGAAATCGAAATTGCGCCCGCCCGCAAAAGGGAGCCCCGCAACGGGTCGCGTCCGCGAGGCAACCTCGGAGCCGCCTTCGTCTGCTCTGCTTGCGCCGGCGTCACGGCCGCCGTCCTGCGGGGCACGGACGTGCTCCCAGCGGCCAAGCGAAGAAAGGGGGAGCTTACTCTGGTTTTATTTCCTTTATGTGTTTAGGGACCCGTGCTTCGGGCTTTGAGGGTTCGGGGCTTTCGGGGTTTATGCTTTGCGGGGTCTAGGGACTATTTGGGTTGGGGCTTAGGGTGTGGTTAGAAGCATAAGCGCTGCACAAGCCAGCATCAGCTGCTCGGAGATGCTTTGGTCTTCGAGGTTGTTCGGGATTATGAGGGCTTAGGCTTTTTAGAACCACTTCTCGACACCCTGTGCTATTTGAAGGTTTGGGGTTGTCAGGCGTTTATCCCCAACGTTGCGGCATATTTGCACCTACCGGTTGGCCTTTCGGTAAAAGGGCCAACTGGTACAGACGGATACAGACAGAAGGCTTTCTTTCCCCAGCTAGCGCAGCCGGTGTGAAGATCTGCTAGCTGCTCAAAGCCAATTTCGAAAGACTGTAGCAATTTCGCTGGTTTTGAACATGCAAGTATTAGATACCAAGTATCGAGCACATTGGCATATTGCCGGATAAACAGTGTATACGAATATCCACATTACTGCATGTAAGCATGTATCGCGCTACACTTTTTATGCAAATATACATGTTTTTAGAGTATGCATCCAACACAAGATTCAAGATTCTCAGCCGATCTTGAGCCGCAGCCAGCTATCCGAGGCATCAGCTCGGGTCTCCGTGTCTGAAGTGCAGGGCTTTCCCTATGTTCCTTGGACTCAAGAAGTCTGTATCGCGCGTGGAGCGGTGACGAGAGTCTCTCCAACCCTCATACTTCAAGACTTGAAGATAGCAGGCGTCTGATCCATTGGACCTTAAGACGGCTGGTCTTGAGATGGGCTAGAGCTGCCGGACCTCCGTGATGGGCACGGATACAGCTGGCCCGCCTCTAACCCGTCAAATTTCAAATCAGAGCTATGAACCAGGTCGGCTGAAGCCACCCTTGGGAGCATAACATTCATTGTGCTAGACAGAGCGTCTATGCTGGCGATACTCTCGTCGTTGGCCTCACTGCATTAACGTGCTTCTTCACGCAATCGAATGACATTCAGAATGTTTCGAAATGCAGCTGAGCGAAAATAATTGCTAATCAACGCATCTCTCCCGTTCGGACGGCCCGGCACAAGGAAGACTTGCCAACTGTTTAGGATCTCTGTTGACTGGTTCATCTTTGATCATCGAACAGAGATTCTTAATCGACTTGGAGATTGCATCGCCGCAACAGAAAGAAGGAGTTCTGGAGCAAGGCAAACACGTCGGTTAGATGGAAGTTGCAAATGTTGAACGCAATCATCAAATCGAAGGTTTTGTTTGGTTTGGGATTCAGTCAACAATCTGAGACTGAGACCTAACAAGATCAAACGCATTTCAAAAGAAGTGCGAGACCAAACAAAAACGATGTGAAAAGTTACCGCACGAGCAATTACCGCCACAGGCCGGAGCCTGGCTGAAACACACCCGAATAAGGAGGTAGTTGTGTAGTCTCAATTCCGCTTGCGTCCTGACTTGCACAAAGTGGTTTGTGTTGCTCACATCGAACGGCCCCGCCTCTAAACATAGCTGCTATGAACGCATCTGCATCGCTTTCCGTGATCCAGTCGGCTCTTGGTGCAAAAAGGCCCCGGGATGTAAACGGTCTGCTCCTAAACAGACTTGCTTCATCGGACCCTCTCGTTTCCACGTTTCTCCAAGGTGTTCAAGAGCACAGCCAAGTTGCTCCCTGATCTCTGTGTATATTATATGGTATTGAAGTCTTGTTTGTAATTTCCCTAGCCATGAAAGTCTGAGGTTTGCTATGACTCCTTCGCAAAGTCTGTGTTGTTTCATGTGTTGCCGTTTGTGTGCACAGCGGTCATGGGGGCCTCAGCTTTTTCATGAGAAAAAGCACGAGACCGAACAATACTTGTGTTAAACCGAAAACGAAACCTGCCAATGCAACGGTAGAGGAAAAAAACAAAAGCTCTTTGATGTGCGGGCTAATGTTGATGCTGCATGGTTATCGTTGCGGGGAGACCGCTCTCTTGGTTTCCTGTTTCCTGGTCAAATTGCTCCCTGCTCCCTGCAAGGCCCTGCTGTCCGGGACCATTGCTTTCCTTTGGGGGCTGGCTTGCGCGTAGTCGACTCAGACTTCGCGTAAGCCTGCTGGAGCTTGGGATTTGAAGGTTCAAGATTTCGGCGCAACCTAGGGCAGTATCTAGGGCCCTAGGGCATCTGCGCTCGCGGGTTGATGCGGGGTTTGCAGTTGAACCTGTCGCACGTTGGATGTACGGCTTCGGGAGACGAAGCTCGAATCATTACACCGTGAGAATGGGATCCTGGCGGCAGCACGCAAGGTCACATTCCGGAACGTGGCGGTTTTGGGGTTCAGAGCCGAGGAGCCACAGGCTTTCCCTGGCCCCGCCATAGGCCGAGTCTTAAGCTCTGAAAACCACAATTTTCAATTCCAAGCTTGCCCTGGATACCGTAGCCGGAGACCTTCCAGCATCAGCACCCAAGCTGTCGTGAAGCCCGAGAGAGCTTCTCTTCCGGCAGCGCACGAGGGTGCACGCTTGAAGTCGCTCCGAGGCACCACGTGTCCTTGGCCGTGGGCAAGAGATCCAGGCAATGCACTCGGGTGTTTGCGTTATTATTGATCTGTTGTGCTCTTTTGGCTGGTATGCATCTCATACTCAGAGATTTAAGGAGGTCGGCGATTCAGTTCTGGTCTCCGAGACAGGGTCTCCTGTGCGTGTAGAAGGGGTGCTTCAGCTTCCATTGCTTTTCAGATCCGTTTGTCTGTTTGTGCGCTGGTCTTGGCTAGGTTTCGTATTCAGGCCTTTGGAGGTTTCGCAGAAGCCGACGTCTCTGTTAAGATCTGCCTCTGTCAACACTCAGCCGACCAGGTACTTCTTCGACAAGTTCTGCGTTCACCAGGCCAAGCTCTGCCAGTACGGTTGACGTTTAGGGAGAGTGAGGATGCCGTTTGAGGCTGTCGTTGGGGCGAAGTACGCTCGAATCACTTATCTCTAAAGCAAAAAATCCTTTATTCCTGGACACAAAAACCCTGCCGACTGCCAGGCCAACCCGGATCAGAAGAAGCAGCTCTGCCTGGCGCAAAAGCAAGGGCTTCTATTTTCCGTTTTTCAAGGACAACCGCAGTTTCACTAAATGAATCCTGCAAACGATGCAGACCACACCAACCTGACCGATGTTTTAAACAGATTCCACGAGCAGCAGAGGCCTTCAAAGGGTGCGCATGCCACGCATGTTCTCCGGTGATGAGCATCGAGGGTGTAGAGCGTTTAGGCCTTCGAGGGCTCCTTTGGAGTCGATGCTGGCAAAGTTCAGAAGTTCAGGTCCAAGCACACTGGAACAAAACAAAAAACAATGAGAGCGAAGAAGCGCGGCCCGACTTTCCATCTCAGTGCTTAGATTCCGCAACTCTTGAGTTGAAGTGAGGGAATGTTGTTAGGTGCTGCGGAGCTCCGTTTTAAGCTTGACTGCAGATTCGTCGGCTTCGAGGATTCGCGCTGCAACTCTAACCAGCATCTCGAACCCCGCTCAGGCAAGCAGTGGCATCTTTCGGAGCATTTGTGCTCCTCGGACCTCCTCGGTTCACATCTCTTCGGAGTCATCAGGTTGTCGTGACGAAGTCCTATGCGTCCTTCCACTTTCGTCAGGGTGATTCCAGGGTGTGCAAGATTTCGATGAGGGACGTCGTGCTGCAGAGACAACAATGACGGCTTCTGTGTGCAACACGCAGCTGAGAGACATGCTGTCCAGCAGGCAGGGGCTCGGGTGCCTTTGAGGACGAAGGACTCGGGGGCTCGATTGTAGGCAAGGAACCCCGGCAAGTTTGACAGGAATCCGTTTTAATGCTTCAGCCGAGGGGACATTCAAGCCGGCTGCTTCTGCTTTGGAGCCGCTTGGCCCGCATCGCCCGTTGATCTCCAGAAATGCGGCCCGTTTGAGGTCCACACTACTTTTCGAGGCTCTGGTGTACACTGGAAATTGCCGCATTGGTGAAGTGCAAGAGTGCCTCGGACCCGTCGAGAAAGCTGCCGCGGGCGCTCTGGAGCTTAGGCCTAGGTACTGCATATTCTTTGGCAGTTCTAGCTTGGGGCCTGCAGGGTCTGCGTAGGTCTACGTTGTGCTTTCCGTTTGTAGAGCAGTAAAGGATTGAGGATTGCCACGGTTGCGATGGCAGTCGAGTCAAACAACAACATCTCAGGTCAGATAAAAAAGCGTATCCTTTCGCGTCATACTGGAATCTTGGAAGCCTGAATCGCCTTAACCTACTCGCTAACCACTACACACTGGAGCTAGGCCGCCCTCCGGTCCAAGACTTGTACCATGATGTTGTAAGGGTAAGCCGCCATGTTGGGGCCGTTTTCTCCAGAAGAACGGTGGTAGTAGCAGCAGCACTAGTTTCAGAGGTAGCAGTAGTTTCAGTCAGTAGAAGTGCAGCCGCGGCAGCTGACGGTAATCCTCACCTGTAAACTGTCGTAATTCACCACATTAAGTGTTACCATCGAACATATTACCCCAAAGCCTGGTTCTCTCCAACTCATCCATTGCATTGACCTTTTCTTTCCGTCGATGTCGGACCGGCCAGAGACACCGTTACACTTTTTCTTCGATGCAGGGTTGCTGTGACTTTTGGCAGAGTGGCTGAAGACATCCCCAGAAGAGTCTTTCGCCCAAGGCGGCGATGACAGTCAAGATCAGAAGCTGCCCTTGGATTTCCTGCCACTTCCGCTGGCGAAGGCCGGCGGCCTGGGAGCAGCCATGCGGATAGTAGAATTAAAGGCCCTAAACCCATAGCTTCAAAGCCTCACGCGCCAGCCAGATTTACGGGCTTCCCCACCTGAGCGAACGCTAGCTCGACTGCTCAGAGCCTGTTTTGGGCGCAAGGCTAAGGAGCTCTTGGCAATGTGAAGATGTCGGATCCTTCAGGCTCTGCACAGACATAACAAGTTCCATCGAATCGTCCTCGATTGCCTATGTCATGAGCCCCACTTCACAGCAGACAGTAGTTTGACACTAGCTTTTTGCCAGTGCAATGCCGGACCCGCACCTCACAGGTAAGCTGCTCCGCATGGATGGTGTTCGCCTTCCTCTATCTGCTCATACAGTTTTGGAGGCTGCGCTCATCAGACATAGATATCAGATAATGCCAAAGCCCCCAAGGCTCCAGTAAAAGTGTCGACTGGGTCTGACACCGGCGAACATCATGGGGGTTCTTTGCCAGGTCTGTTTTGCGTTTCTCTGTTGCAAGGTTCAGCATGAAACTAAGCATGAGCTCATACGTGAGTGCGTTCATGCAAGAAAACATGAATGTGAAGGCATGGGGCTCGTTTTTACGAAGAGCGTGTGGTTCACACCAGGGGTTGGTTTCAGCAAAAACTCCAACATTGCCGTTCAGGCTTCTGGACGTGAACACCACGCTGATCGACCTTGGCATCACGCGACTCTCACGCGAGCTTATGTCTTGGGCAAAGCGTGTTGTGGCAAAAGCGATGTTTCTGTAGCCTTAGAAGCTCTAGCAGGCAGGTCCTTACAGACAGGCCACAGCAGCCAAGTGGCAACTCGCGCGGGCGTAAAGTCCGGTCAGATAGAACTGGCTACGGCTGTGTGTTGCCTCAGGCCTCGGTCCCACCTCCTTTCTCGCCCTAGGATTCTGTAGAGACGCATTGGGAGAATTGATGAATTGGGAGCATTGGGACAGAGCGCAGAGTTGTCATCAGACAGTTCTGGCTGCACGCCGGAGATGAGAGTCATCGAGCATTGGAGAGGTTGTAGTGTTCAAGGCAGGCAACCGTAGAACTTCTCAAACCTCCAAATCCCGAAACCATGCAGTTAACAGAAGAATGGACCTTGAGCCCGGCGGAGTTCCCATTTTCGGTTGAGAGAACAGCCAGAACTTCTGCCCCCTAGCCTTAGGGAAAGCTCTCGTATTTACGGCAACAGGTCAAGACACTGTATTCCACCGCGCTTAGTGCGGTCCATCCCGATGTAGTGCCTGCCCGTAGATGGACCAATGCCGAGTTCTCTCGTCCGAAAGCCCCAAAACCGAAATCCGGAACTTCTGCGACGGATCAAAGCCCTGTCAACGCCAATCGCTGGACAGCCAATGTTCAGGGCGTTCGTGTCGCTGATTTCGCTGTACGTCTTGGTGGCGACGCTGAGGGCACCTGGGCTTAGGATCTGGACGGGGGTTTTCGGGTTTGGGGCCATAGCACGAGGGCGGCATGGCCGCAGCGTCGTAGCTGAAGACCAAGAGGGTTGGCTCCTTGCCCCATTCTGGAGCTTGAGCTTCAATCGCCAGTAGCTGGCAAGATCTTAACAAGTTAAAGCAGTCAGAGCTTGTACTTGTCTCAAAGCTTGTACAAATTCCTGGCGGCTCCGGGAGGGCACAGGTTGAATCCAAAGATGATAAGTCCCAGTCCAGCAGACCGATGAAACAGACAATTCTCCAAGCGGGGTCGTCTCATGTCCAAAGCCCCAAATCGACGCCAAGGTGTATGCCCGTGACCGTGCGAAGTTGTCGGAGCAGCCACCTGTTGCAAGGGATTTTTTTGAATTCGCCAGGTTCATGCTGCAATCATTGGAGAAAGCACATGTGTAAAGAAAGTTCTGGTTCGGGGCGAAGGAGCACAACTTGGACAGCTCTGGAGCAGTTTCATGGCAATGAAGATGTGAAAAACCGAAGTAACGAGGCCAATGCAAAGAAAATCAATTTTGAGATTTCATTTTCAGCATCACCCTACCTCTAATTTACATTGTCGATTAACCCCCTACGGTGGGTTACCTGTTTCTGGTCCGCCAAATTATAGGTTGTTTTCAATTCAAACCCTGCCATGAGCACTAAAGTCCGGGGTAATGTGGGTCAGCACATGACCAGCATATGCTGGTCACAGGGCGGCCCCGGATGGGGTAACTGGAAGGGGGGGTAACCAGGACCAGGTCATGCATATTAACCTGCGCCACCATCACCACCATCGCCCTCTTGTGTATCTTCCATTTTCCAAGAGCATATTGCATCAACGCTGGCAGACGGCTGAAACCCCAAATGCTCACGATGTTGATGTCGACTTGGGGCTTGCGGTGAAATTTCCCAGCTTCCACAAGCAGGTGTATTGGAGAATCAGGAAGTCATGACTTGCATTTTGGTGTTGACCTTGCTGTTTCAGGTCCGGGATATGGGCATTGCTACGGCTAACAAGCAGATCCAAGCCTTAGAGACGGATCCACCCTGAAACTGCATAACTCCCAGAGCTCAGGCTTCTTGATTTCAGCATCGAGAACGCCGACTGCGCCTGGGACTTGCAGGATGACCCCCAAAACAGAGCCATGTCATTGGGCAAGGAGCTATAAACTTGACGAACCGCCGTACCGTGATAACCGCACTGCCACTGCATTTCAGAAGCATAACCACAGGCACCGGGATCTTGAAACCATCATCCGCGACCTCCGCAATTCTGATATTTTACGCCATTGAGTTCAGCTTGAGGTCGTGCTTTTGTCGACAAGCCTGATGCAAACACAGAGAAGCGTAAACACCCATCATGCGAACTAGAAACTTCTTGGCGACACCTTGCCAGACAGAGTGTGCAAGCTTCAAGCTAATCCCGTCATGATGCCGATGATTCGATGGTGATTACTTTTGGGATCTGAAGGACAACGGTTTTGAATTGCAGTGAAGTGTGTTCTGAAGACGCAGAGGTTTTACAATGTCTTACAGACATGATACTTCTCATGATTATTCAAGCTCCGGTGGTTACCCTTTGCGGATTCGTCGTCCTGGATCCAGCTCAAATCGAACCTCACCCTCTTACGTCGATTTGTGAACGACTCGAAAGCAATGAACCTTATGCCAGGCTCCCGGGACGAGGATCGCATCCGCGTGCAACGCAGCTTGGTTCAAATTGTCTGGGCTGCTCACTGCGACCCAAGCCGCAGCTTAACCCTCTCAGCACTGCGCTTAACAGCTGCAATATCGAATGATTTGTTTGCTTTTCCCATGTCTATCTATCTACCCACCTAGCTGTCTATCTATCTTTCTTATGTCCGTATAATACACACCTGATCGTGCGTGCGTGTATGTGCCATGGATATCAGAGGGAGGTGTGTTGGTCTGTACTGTCTACATGCATGCACACATTCAGAGCGCGATCCCTTGGTGTATGTCTTTGGTTCAAAACGTCCGGAACAAAAGAAGGGTGATGCTTCCCACTACCCATGAACCTTCCAACAAGTGGAGAACTTGTGCTGGACATGAAGAATGTGATGTCGGCTGCTGCATAGGGCGATAGGCTAAGGCCTTAGACATATGCCTCGCAGCCCCTGCGTGTCTGTCTGCTCAGGGTTCAGGAATTCGGGTTTAGGGCTTCATGTTCCACATAGGCCTTTAGGCCTGAGTCATTGGGGTTTGGTTTAGGGTTCATAGTAGTGTTGGCCGAAGATGCTATCGACGTGCCTGATGAGAGGCACTATGCTTGGATGGTTCAAAACGTTGGAGCAGTGCAACATGCCGCTTGCCATCGATTCAGAGCCGAGTATCGACCAGTTGATGCTGCCAGATTCTTATACAGAGCTAGCACACAGGGTTTTGCAAAAAACTTCGACTGCCAAGCCTGCTCCCCTGGGAACGACAGCCCCCTCAACCAATGAGCCAGACGGAGCTTGTGAACCGAGAGAGCTTAAGCTATGCCATCTTGGTAAGGCACGTGCGGAGGAAGGTTCACGACCAGGTGGTGTACACGTGCCCTGTCGTTGAAGCGATCCCAACGTCTTGGTGAGGTAAAGCGGTATAGCGTGCCCTTTCTTCGATGCAGGTAATTTACAGGAGTGCTCTTTGCCCCACGCGGGCCACCCGTGGGGACTCATTCGAAGGCTGATATCTGACATGGGCTACGATGGCCGCACACCGATTCAGTAGTTGTGACAGCCGAGTAGACCTTCTGGAAGCAGAAACAGGCAAGCTGCCTGACGTAGGCAAAGGTGACAATGCTATTGAGGATGTTCTCGTGGCGTATGTGAGGGCAAAGAGAGGGAGAGCCCTAATTACAGACGGACTGACAAGCAGGCAGAATCCATGCTTCACCGGCAAACACATACATGCACTCGCATAGACATGCACCTATTCTTCCTTAATAAGGCAAAGATGTGTCTGTGTTTGTATACGTACATCTACAGCGCGAAGATCGGCAATCTATATTCGTCCCCATTTCATCTTCTCCATGGTTAAGCAAGACCTATGCTCTGAAGCTGGGGTGGGGGTGCATGAGAAGAAATACCTATTGAACCCCAAACCCAAACCGTGGTTTGGACCCAAGTCGTCAGACAAGCCGCCACTGCCTGTACCAGGTTGGGTCCGCAATCTCACTATCCGACACGGCTGCTTATTCCCCTTGTTTGGCGCCTTACCTGGATTTGCCGGCTTCCGGGATCCAACCTGCGCATGTCTTCCGGCTCCGGTTGTCAGGGCTTCACGGTCACGAAGGTGTCAGAAGTCGAGTTGAAGTTGAGGCTTTCTTATACAGGGCGCAAGCTTAGTTCCAATTCTTCAGGAGTGCAGCCCCAGCAGAACTGCTGTTAGTAATGGTCTCTTTGGCCTTGTCGTAGGTCGTCATCATCACAAGGCTCACCGTGGCATCATCATCGTCAAGATCACAATCACCATATTCTTCGTAGTCGTGCTTCGCGTGACTGTCATGGTGTCGTCATCATCAGCATTATCAGCATCACCACCCTGACCAACTTGTTTCACATAACGATCGTCCGGTTTACTCTGCCAAGACTAGTGTTATTAGTGGTCATTGCACCGAAGAGAACGACCGGCAACACCACGTGGCTGTCTTTGCAGGGAGAGCTTAACTGTTAACGCTCCGCGCCTACGCTTCGGCACGGCAGATCGGATATGAGCTCCCGCAATTCCTGTCAGACCCGGTCCAGTGCAAGGTTTAGGGCTTCCGGTTACAGGAGCTCCCAGGGTTGAATGGCAGTGCTGAAAAGTCGCAAAGCTCCAGGATAGACTTCCTGAACGAGATGGACTACCTGGCAGCAGGCTACTACAACACAAACACAGACTTCAAGATCACGACCTGGGCAGGCGTGGCACAAAGAAAGGTTGACCTTCCCGGGATGCGATCAAACCAAAGTATGTACATTTCTCAGACTTTACATTCAGCATGCGATCCCAAACCCGAAACTCTCGAACCCCTTGCACAGTAATATCTTCCGGCAAGACTGCAGAAGTTAAGAAAGTTCATGTTGATAGACACGGCTTCCATCGAGGAGGGAGCTGACTGCCAGTTCTCTTTACATTCCCCGTTGTTTGACTGCTAGTTCTGCATAGAAGTAGACGACGATGTCGTCGTAGAAGTACAAATAGAAAAAGTAGAGGAGTAGTAGCAGCAGTGGCAGTAGTAGTAGTAGTAGTAGTAGTAGTAGCAGCAGCAGCAGGAGTAGTAGTAGTAGTAGTAGTAGTAGTAGGAGCAGGAGCCGGAGCAGTAGTAGTAGTAGTAGTAGTAGTAGTAGTAGTAGTAGTAGTCGTGGTGGTGGTGGTGGTGGCGGTAGTGGTAGTGGTAGTGGTAGTTCTAGTGGTAGTGGTAGTGGTGGTAGTAGTAGTAGTCGT